ATAAGAGACTTATTACCCATCGTAAATTACAACCGCCGGTTCCTTATCTCGACCGCGTGGCGTTGCAAATTATCGGCTTTGTATCGAGAGAGTGAGACTGCGCGGGCAGAAAAGATCGATCGACGATCTCTCACGACGTAAACACGTATCCATTTGGATCGATTGATGCAGAATGGAAAGAGGTCTTCGGAATACGGCTTGTTATGCCGAAGAGAATGACCTACAAACACGCGCCACAACATTCACTGATATTCGCAATTGCTTATCGATAATCTTCTTAAACATCAATTTCAAAATTCCCCCCCCCCTCCCCCCCCCCGTCTACATTCCGGTGGTAAAATAAACCCGACCGATAATCTCGTCTTCCAACTTGTAACATTATTTCCACAGCATAGAGAAATCAAAGTGCACGACGACGTTCTTATCGAATGGAATCGGAACCGTTTACCTTGAGATTAATAATAAAGACGATACGACGGGGATAATCCTATCTGTTAACTGAATTCAACGCGATACAATTACCGATATTTCGTCATTGCCTCGGAAAGGCAAAGGCCTTGCTTCTATATTAGCTCGTAAATATAGATAGACAGATAAATACAGAGAAAAGACAAATAATATTCAATTACAATATAACTTCACTTATCTCACAGAATCGGAATGAAACTGAGAAAGAGCTCCGAGAGAACGGTAAGAGGGAGCCCATCGACGCGAATACGTTACGATAGAGATAGTTCACACTTCATCGGGAGATGATAACGGGAGAGATAATTCTCCCGTTTGAGTTTGCCGAAGGTGTCAGATAAGTGAAGGCGGAGTTTATCGGCCGTGTGCGCGCGGGGACGACCGACGATTCCGCTCCGCGCGAACGCGCTCGTTACGCGCGAGTACGAAAACTCGATTATGCAACGGTTCGTTACCTTGATACTGTCGTAGCAGGCGGTCACCCGTCCGTTCTGCACCTCGACGTTAGCCGGCGGATGGGCGAACTTGCACTCCGTGTCGGGCCTGGTGCACTTGTTGCGCTGGAACTCCCTGCAAACCTCCAGTTGCAGCCACCGCGAGTCCTTGCCGTTCAGTAGGTTATTCATGCTGACCATTGCCATTCTTCCACTCCTGGAAGATCGAGAGTCCCCGCCGTCCGTTGGCCTCTACCGTGAGAGAGTAGTAACCCGGACTCTCCTCCCTCTCTTTCTTTCTTTCTCTCTCACTCACTCTTTCTCTCTCTCTCTCTCTCACACACACACACACTCTCGCACACTCTCTCTCTCTTTCTCTCCGCCGTTCTAAACTCTCTTGCTCGTGATGATCGGCTCCTTTTCTCCGTACACACGCGTCGACTAATCTTGTCAAGGATATAGACGTTTCGGTTTATGGAGTACGACCACCTCGCGACACGAACTCGTCGGCACTTGTTCACGGGATTTCGCCAAGTCCGCTACTGAACCCTTTCGTTCCACCACTTTCGCCTCGTCTCGTCTCAGCTCTTCTCTCACCACTCGCTCACGTGCACACACGCTCACCCCTTCCTCTCTCCCTTTCTCTCTCCCTCCCTCTCTCTCTCTCTCTCTCTCTCCCTCTCCACCTTCATCTACACCATTCACACACAAGCACACTTTATGCGAAATCCCGCGTGTGCCTCGGAGTCGTGCGACTACTCGTGATTGTATACCTTACGGCAGAAGATCTCTCGTTTAAGCGCGATGCGACGATCTTAGTGTCCCATGTACACGATGGTCCGCGTCTGTCTTCCTGCGCGTAGATCTTCCGCGTGGAAAATCACCGTGCCTCGTAACTTCGTTCTTCCTCACACCTCGAAATCGCGCTTGGCTCTCGTCGTCGTTGTCGTCGCGCGATATGTCGAATCGTCTGACGGAGACTCGCGTTTATCAGCAACGTCGGCTGTTTCGAGCGTGGCTGGCTTATCGCCGTCTTTCCTTTTCTCTCGCCTGATATCTCGGATCTCGTGGCGAGAATTAATCGAGGGAGCGCGACGGCGTAGGCCGTAGGCTTAGGCGGCTCGTTGTCGATGATTCGCGTTTCTGCGAAAATTCTTTAATCCCGTAGGCCGAGTTTCGATGGTGCGCACGAGGCTTCTCGCGCGATTATCTCCGGGGAGGCGTAGAAGCTGAATGTATCGCGGGCGAGAGAGGACGGGATGGAGAGATATCTCACTGGGAAAAGAGAAGAAGCGAAAAGTGTGAAGCTGTGTATCGACAGCGATTAGGCACCGGTCGATTATTAGGCGGGATGATGGCGCTACTCCTGGCTTCGTGATAAGGCGTCGTCGTAGGTCGTCGATCTCATCTATCGACTCCTTATTCACTTATATTTCCTCTGTCCTCCCTTGATCTTGCAGCGCACCGTACTTGAGAAGCTGTAGCCTGGGCGTAGTAGTGGTAGTAGTAGTAGTAGTAGTAGTAGCAGTAGTAGTAATAGTAGTAGTAGTAGTAGTAGTAGTAGTTATAGTAGTAGTAGAATAGTTGTAGTACTCGGGCAAAGCTTGAAAGCCTCCGAAGCTAAACGTCGACCAAGAAGAGCGTGGTCTCTAGACGCGCGCGCTTTTGCACAAGTATCTCCCTTCCTTTGTGCACACACACACACACACACACAGGCAGGCAGTTGGAGGCCGCTGAGGGTGTTCTGGATCGCACGTGTACGGTATGTATACGTATTCGTCTAGGTATGTATGCGTGTTTCGAAAAGCCGGTCGTGACGTCCTTCAAGCCGGTTTCAAACCAACGCGTGTGTCTCGCGACGGCGAGTCTACTGGAAGGAGTAGGTCGTAGGACGTGGTGGAGGTAGTCGTATGTAGCGGGGGAGCTGGTGCAGGACTCGTATTCGTTCACCACGGCGGTCTGCCGGCGGTGCTGCTGACGAAGCGGAAGAAGACGGAGGGGGGAGGGGGAGAGAGAGAAGGGGGAGAGAGAATGCTCCGTGCGTGGAAAGATGGAGGAAACCCTTACGTGCCGTCCTGCCTGAGATCAGGTGAGGAACGGCAACGCGCGAGTCGAGCTGTAGTCGAAATTTCGTGGACAGGAACGGGGGACGCTGGGAGATGCGGCGACGACAGCTTTAGGCGACGCCGAAGAAGCGTGCGAAGAGAATGGTAACGGAGACGACGACGACGACGACGACGACGAGTAGGAGCGATAAGAGGGTAGTGTTGTAAGCACGTGAAGACGGCGGGCGACAAAGCGGGCGTACAGGCGACAAGAGAGGGCAAAGGTCCAGCGGCCGGGTCGCGCCTCAGGTTCTCCGGGTCGTGTCGGGGTCGGACCCGAGCAGAGAAAGAGAGAGGGTTCCAGGGGGGTGGCAGGAGGGGGCAGGCGCGGAAAGAGAGACGGCGAGACAGAGAGAGGGGGGGGGGTTTCCCAGGGGGTAGGGCAGGACGGGG